AACAGAGCAAGACTCTGTCTCAAAAAAAAAAAAAACAAAAAAAAAAAAAAAAAAAAAAAGAATTGCCTAACATTAGGGGAGAAGATTAAGCAAGAGGTAGTGTCAATGCTATAGTTTATATATTTTAGTAATGTTAATAAATAGAATATATATCAAACTGATAAAAGTATGGATGTATCGATTATATATAATAGTATATACACAATCTCACACACACATTGAAAAAGAATCTACACTGTGATCTTTTTCTACAGGACTATTTATATAATAAATAAGACTACAGAAGAATGAAAAATTGTACATTAAAAACTGCATTGTACTCAGGAAATAATTCAAAGACGATCTCCCTTATTCTCCTGGGATTATAAATAAGCTAGTTTTTCTTAATTTCAAATATGCAGGCTGGTCACAGTGGCTTATGCCTATAATCCCAGCACTTTGGGAGGGTAAGGCATCTCTGCAAAATATTTCAAAAATCAAAAAAAAATTAGCTGGGGATGGTGGCCTATTGCCTGTAGTCTTGGCTATTTGGGAGGATCCTTTGAGCCTAGGCATTCGAGGTTACAGTGAGCTATGATCATGCCACTGTACTCTAGCCTGGGTAACAGAGCAAGACTTTGTCTTTTAAAAAAATGCAGAAGATAAAGCAATATTCAAAAACTGATAAGTCCACTAATTCTGACATTCCTTTTAGAACAGAAAATTGCAATTGTTGTTCTCTGTGTAAATTAAAATGTACTTTATATATTTATTGCATTTGCTCCACATTAGAGATTCCCAAATCTGGCTATGTATCCAATCACCTGGGGAACTATTTTTTTTTTTTTTTTTTTAAGACAGGGTCCCATTCTGTCACCCAGGGTGGAGTGCAATGGGGCACAATCATGACTCACTGCAGCCTCAAACTCCTGGGCTCAAGTGATTCTCCTGACTCAGCCTTCTGAGTAGCTAGGACTATAGGTGAGCACCGCTATGGCCAGCACCCTGGGAACTTTTAAACAGTAAGTTCCTGGAGCCCATTTCCTAAAGATTTCAATTTGAGAAGTCTGGACTAGAAGCCAGAAATCAGAATACATAATATAATATAAAGTTCATGTTAGAGTATGAAAGGAATTCCTACTGTAGGAATCGGTCCCATACTTCAAGTGCTTTCCAAACTTCACTTAATTGTGCACACAAATCAATTGGAGGTATTACTAAAAGTCAGATTCTGATTCAGAAGGTCTGGAATGAGGCCTGGGAATATGCAGTTCTGACAAGCTCCCAGGTCCAGGGGCCACATTCTGAGTAGAAGACCTTATGAGATTTTTAAACCTTTCCACAGGTGAATGATAGAAGTCAGTATCCTACAGCCAGTGCAATGGCTCACACCTATAATCCCAGCACTTTGGGAGGCCAAGGCAGGCAGATCACCTGAGGTCAGGAGTTTGAAACCACCCTGGCCAATATGTTGAAACCCTGCCTCTACTAAATATACAAAAATTAGCCAGGCATGGTGGTGCATGCCTGTAGTCCCAGCTATTTGGGAGGCTAAGGCAAGAGAATCGCTTAAACCCAGGAGGCAGAGGTTGCAGTAAGCCAAGATTATGTCACTGCACTCTAGCCTGGGCAACAGAGCAAGACTCTGTCTCAAAAAAAAAAAAAAAATGAAATAAAAGAAGTCAGTATCCTAGGAGTTTTCCACGGAAATACTTTCAAGTTTTACCTAAACATCCTTTTTTATCTAAACATAACTAGAGTACACAGCTTGCAAAATGATTGACTTATCTTTACTATGTACCCTACTACCAAATGAATGGAAATTATTTTCCTCATTTACAGATGGTATCACTAAAAGTTGAGTGCTACTGATGTCACAATGCAGAGATGAAATTAAAATTTACATAACTTTCAATATTATACACAAGGATTTTCATCATAGCCATGGTTACAATAGTAAGATATTAGAGAGAAAAACTTTGGCAGGGTGCAGTGGCTCATGCCTGTAATCCCAGCACTTTGGGAGGCCAAAGCAGAAGGAGCGATTCAGCCTAGGAGTGTGAGACCAGCTTGGGCAAAATAGTAAGACCTCATTTCTACAAAAAATAAAAACACTGTTAGCTGAGTGTGGTGGTATGTCTGCAGTCCCAGTTACTAGGGAGGCTGAAGGGGGAGGATCGCTTGAGCCTAGGAGGTTAAGGCTTCAGTGAGCCAAGAAGACGCCACTGCATTCCAGCCTAGATGACAGCGTGAGATTACGTCTCTCAAAAAATGAACAAGCCCTATATATCCAACAATAGGGGACTGCTTAAATAACCTAGAAGAACCTTATAATCAAACACTAAGCATCTATTTTAAGTAATTATGTAGGCCAGGCATGATGGCTCACACCTATAATCCCAGCACTGTGAGAGGCTGAGGCAGGCAGATGGCTTTAGTCCAGGAGTTCAAGACCAACCAGGACAACATGGTGAAACCCCGTCTCTACTAAAGATACAAAAACAAAAGTAGCCAGGAGTGGTGGCATGTGCCTGTAGTCCCAACTACTTGAGAAGCTGAGGTGGGAGGATAGCCTCAGCCTGGGAAGCAGAGGTTACAATGAGCCAAGATCATGCCACTGCACTCCAGCATGGGTGATAGAGTCAGACCCTGTCTCAAAAAATAAAATAAAATAACATAAATAAAATAAATAAATAATAGAAAATGGGGGGTGGGGGGTGGAAGGAGGGAGAACATCAAGAAGAATAGCTAATGGATGCTGGGCTAAATACCTAGGTAATGGAATGATCTATGCAGCAAACCACCATGGCACACATTTACCTGTGTAACAAACCTGCACATCCTGCACCTATACCCCTGAACTTAAAATCTGGAAATCAAAAAATAAAATTTAAAAAGAGAAAAAAGTATGTAAATAAACACTTGCAAAAATACATAAATATACCCTTACTGATAATGAAAAGACATTCAAGATAAGTGAAAATAAAGAGTATAAAATTGTATAGAAAGACGTGTGTATATGTGTGTGTGTGTATTTACCAGAAAGATGTATATACCAAAATGTTTAAAGCATTGTACCCAAAGTACTAGAATTTTAGGTGATTCTGATGGTTGCTTGCCTGCATTATCTAATATTTCTACTACAATGTATACCATATAAAATTCTTAAAGGTTGAAAGGCAGGTGAGAAGAAAACCAAGTAAACTCCACACATGCACGTACCTTTTGAAGCCCACTCGAATGGGTCTGACCGATAGGTAATTTGCTTTCCAAGGAGTATTCAAGGGACTCCCTAAATTAGAAGCACTTAGAAAGTTTTTAAAAATTGCAGTCTTGTACCCCAATCCAGACTTATTAAATCAGAATTTGTACCAATAGGCCCCAGAATTTGCATATGAAGCAAATACTGACTCTTTTATAGACAGTAAAGTTTGGAAACCATGGCATTAAACAAAAAGCTTCCTAGAAATTCAGAAACCTGGACTAAATTCCAACCTATCTGAACAGAAACCTACAGCAAATTCAGAGTGAATGAAATCATGGTGTTTTCATACATATACATTTACACTCATAGAGACTGCTGGAATTTGAACAACAAAAAACTGTTCTTAGAAACTGGCTTTATTCCATCTTAATTTTAAGCATCCCATGTGATCACTGACCATTTCCCATGAGTTGACTGAGGTCACAAAGGTTTTCCTTATATTTGACCCACATCTGTCTAAAAATCTTCTCATTATAACCCCTTCTATGATGCTCTGTCCCTATTTAGTTCTTCATTAATGAAAAGTACTACATGAACATATTATGGAACCAAATATGAAGACAATTCAGTCATTCTACTGTTGCTTTCATTTCTCCTTTCTACACACATTTTAGCTGAATAACTTTAATAGATTCTGGTGATTATTTCTTCTAGAGATATTCTCTAAGGTAAATTCAAAGGCATCATGAGCCTCTATCAATAAATGTCCTCAAAGAATCAAGTAAAACCTTTCCAGTTCTGAAAAACAGGACATGAACCCCCAAAATTTTGTTAAAAGAAAAAGAAAAAAGGTATATACCACAATGAATACATTTCCCTATCATACTCTCAAGTACTTAGTATGACAATCAACTCATAAGTCACTTATTTATGAAGTTTTCAAAAGGAAACATTAAGAATTTGGGGACTTTCCTAAAGCTAACAAATTAAAACAATTTTTCCAAAAGAAAGTCATGATAGGCCAGGCACCATGGCTCATGCCTGTAATCCCAGCACTTTGGAAGGCCAAGGCGGGAGGATCACCTGAAGTCAGGAGTTCAAGACCAGCCTGGTCAACATGGTGAAACCCTGTCTCTACTTAAAACAAAACAAAACAAAACAAAACAAAACGAAAAATTAGCAGGGCGTAGTGGCATGCACTTATAATCCCAGCTATTCAGGAGGCTGAGGCAGAAGAATTTTCGAGGCAGAGGTTGCAGTGAGCCGAGACTGCGCCATTGCACTACAGCCTGGGTGACAGAGCAAGATTCCACCTCAAAAAAAAAAAAAAAAAGCCATACAGATTTTTTCCCCCTTTAAAACAGAAAAGAAAACAACAGGAGAAAAAAAAAGTTTGGCGTGAGCTCCTAAGAGGATATAGGAGAGGACAATAATTTGTAGGATGTGAGGGAGAAGTCCTTCATTTTATTTTAATCCATGATACATTTTAATCATGGATCACACAGAAGGCCAGGCCAGCTAAAACTTGAATTTATTATAACCAAGAAGATTATATACCTACCTGCAGCTCACACCAAGCAACCTCAACCCATGTTTCAGTGTCCAGTCCTTTATACACTGTTTTAAATGCTCCCCTTCCTAGTTCTATGTCAAATTTCAGGAATCTGCCACTAGGAGAAGTAGCTACAGCCTTCATTTCTGCTTCTTCTTCCATTTCCTTTTCACTTTTCTCCTTGAAACAATCTTTTGAGATTTCCGAGGCTGACTTTGAACACTGTTCATATTTAACTTCTTGTCCACCTCTCAGCACATTTGAAGGAAGTTTATCTACTCTTGGAATATTTGTTGCAGTCTTTATTCTCTCATCTTTTGGGGACAATTTGGCAACTTTGTCATCTTCCGTCATTTCAACACTCTTTCGGAAAAATCTCTTCCTTTCTATGGTTTCCCCAGAAGCAGAGAAGGTGCTGTTTTTCTCCTTTAGTCTAGCGTCTACTGTCAAAGTCGCAGCAACCTGAGGAACTCTGTTTTCAAGTGAAATTCCATCAGGTTTCTCGGAATCTTCTGTGCTGGCTGGATCTCCCGAATCAGTGGCCATTGTAATTAAAGTTGGCACTAAAATTTTTCCTGTTTCTAGTCTTCAGTCCAGTTACATCTCAGGTATCAGAATTATTAGAATGGACTTCCTTTTGCGTGGTCATATATTTCTATAGCAACCTGAAGGGGGGAAAAGGATATTTCAAAATCACCATACAAAGGAAATCATTAAGGAAAAAATAAGTCACCTGATTTTTAATCCTTTTTTCCTTAATAAGAAGTTTCTTCTTTTTTCTGTCCAATCTTAGCAACCAGCAGACTCTAGGGACTGTGTCTTATCTTGTTTACCATTAGTCCTCAGTGCCTAGTAGGCTACTTAGTATATATCTTGATCTGTCTTCATATTGCATGAATATTGGTTAGAAACCTAGTTCTCAGCTCCATCTGTCAATCCATCAAATTCAAAACAAGTACCGAAACCCTGGGTTCACTTAGCCACAAGGTGACAAACACAATAAGTAAAAACAACCACATGGTTTCTAGGTGGTATTTGTCTAAAATTCCGGAATTCATCAATAGTAGTTTCTTTTATTGTACTAAAATATACGTAACGTCAAATTTACCGTTTTTAAGTATACAATTCAGTGGTGTTAACTACATTCATAGTGTTGCGCAATCATCACTACTATCCATGCCCAGAGCTTTTTAATCATCCCAAATTGAAACTCTGTACCCATTAAACAACGATTTCCTATTAGCTCTCACCTACCCCAGTAACTTCTACTTTCTGTCTCTATGAATTTGCTTATTTTAGGTAATTCACATAAATGTAATCAGACATTTGTCCTTTTGTGTCTGGCTTATTTCACTTAGTATAGTATTTTCAAGGTCTACTGATGTTGTAGCATGTATCAGAATTTCATTCCTTTTTAAGGCTGAATAATATTCCATCATATTAGTTATAGACCACATTCTGTTCATTTCATTCATCTGCCAGTAGATTGAATTGTTTCTACCTTCTGACTGTTGTGAATGTTGCTGCTATAAACATCTGACAGTAATTTTAAATAATGAAGATTTATAAGCTTACCTTCAGATTTTAACAGAAACTGTTGTCAAATATTAATATACTATCCTAAAACAATAGCAAGAAAGACTCAAAACCATGTATTCTTTTAAACTAGCAATTCTACTTATAGGAACTTGCCTTAGAAAATAGTCAAGAATCTGTGCAAAAATTTAACTATAAAGATGTTCGTTCTAGCACTTACGGAAAAAACAAAACATAAGCCTAATTTGTGTTTAATTAAGTATCTCAAAATGAGGTATGCCACAGCATTAAAAATAACACTGCAGGCTGGGAGCAGTGACTCACACCTGTAATCCCAGCACTTTGGGAGCCCAATGTGGGTGGATCACTTGAGGTCAGGAGTTCAAGACCAAACCAGCCTGGTTTAGTGAAACCTTGTCTCTACTA